CTCGCCATTTAACAAGGGAAATAGATTTTTTCGTATTTCACTCATTTAGCCATTTAATAAAGTGTAACAACCTTCACCCTATCCAGACAGGATATTGTCCACTTTTAACTCCCCGAGACCAGAGACTTCCCAAGGGGTCACCCATCCTGGTACTACGCTAGGTTAAGCACGCTTAACTTCAGAATTCTGGTGGGTTTATGGCTATCACGACTTTAAAACGCGTTATATTATAGAAGGGTATTGAATTTACATATAGCACTTGCCCCATCCACACCCAGGTGATGTGAGATTCTGCACTTGTAGCTCGCCTAGTGTGGTAGCCTAATGGTGCCACCTGTACACGCTCACACGCACCCGTCCACAAGGTTACCACAATCACCTCCCCTTTGGGGCCCAACGTCCTCGTTGGCCACACTTCCGGCTGGGTCAGACTTTGATACCATTTGCAACAACCCTCACCCTATGCAAACACAATATTTTCTACTTTTAGCTCTCCGAGACCAGAGACTTCCCAGGGAGTCACCCATCTTGGTATTACTCCAGGTTAAGCACACTTAATTTCGAAGTTCTAGTAGGTTCACAGCCATCACGGCTTTAAAACGCGTTGTATCATAGAGGGGTATTGAATCTACATATATCACTTGCTCCATCCACACCCAGGCGATGTGGGATTGTGCACCTGTAACTCGCCTAATGTGGTAGCCTACAAGGTTGCCACAACAAGGCAGATATATTTTTCGAGCTTCACTCAGCTCATCCTTTAATAAGTAAGTGGTTTGCCCGAGCTTTGTGAGCTCACCCTTTCATAAGGGAATAGGTCATGTTGTGCTTCATGAGCTCACTTTTAATGAGGGGGCGAATTTTGCCCTTAGCTTCATAAGTATTGTGGGCTCTTTTTTTCTTTTCTATTTTTTTGGCGATCTTTGGGTAACCTCTTTTTCACTAACCTATTGTTAGGCAACCTCATTTTCGCATATTTACGAACTTAAAAAACACTTAGTGCCATATTTTTAATTTTTATTAGACATACCAACCTCATTTTTTTGGGTGACACCAATCAACAACCTCATTTTTTTTTAGGAGACCTTATTTTGGGAGACCATTTTTTAATCGACCTCTTGGTCGATCGCTTTCTAGCTGACCTTTTGGGGCCGATCAACGAACTCGTCTTTTAGGCCACCTCTTGCTAACCTCTTATGTTTTGTATTTACGAACTCACAAACAGTGATGACATGTGTTGCCATATGTTTAGTTCTTAAAAGAATGTCCTCTTTTTGGGTAACCATTTTTTTTGCCATAGAACAACCTCGTCTTACTCTTTAACAGAGAATTAGGATTCTTGGAGTTGAAAAATAGGATGAACAATTCGCCGCCACCCAAACTCGAATGCCATCATACTCTCTGTCACAGAATTGGGACTCGAATTGGGACGTTTGGAGTTAAAAACACTTTGCATTGAAAAAGTTAACCACATTTGCTATCGGTATGTGATTCTAATGCTAAACTGGAACAACACGAATCTTTTAGAACTCTATCTTGGCTTTATTATATTCTCTATAAGAGAACTGCACCATTGGAATGTTATCTTTGTTGTCCGCTTTGGGTTTTACCCCCAAAAGGTCTCTTACCATTTGGAATGTAGCAATCCTACATATACAACACTTCCCTTTTCCATACCCAGACGATGTGAGATTGTGCACCCGTAGCCTGCTAGCATGGAAGCTTGCCAGTGCATCGCACTCGCCCACGCATACCCGCCCACAAGGTCGCCACAATCACTCCCCTTAGTGCTCCAACGTTATCGTTGGCCATACTTCCGATTGGGTCAAGCTCTGATACTATTTGTTAGGTTTTTATTCAATAATGCACATGCAGAAATTAATAGTACTTCAATAATTAAATAGGAAAATTTAGCCATTGTACCTAATTGATGATTAAACCACACAATACATTTATTTTAAAGAATATCCTTAGACTCCTTTGAGTTTTGGGATCTTATGGATCTCCTTCTTGGCCTCATTGTATTCTTTATCAAAGAATTGAGACTTTCGGGGCTAGAAGATGTAGAGAGTTGAAGAAACGAAACGATAACGGTAGCACCATTGGAACACCTTTTTTAGTTATATTTTGTAGTGAAAATGGTAACTGCATTGACTATCACTATGCCGATTGTGATGCTAAACTGGAACAACTAGTTGAATAGATCATGACGTTAATGATTTTTTGGATTCCTTCTCGCCCCTCATCGTATTCTCTATTAGAGAATTAGGACTCTCGAAGTTGGAACACAACGATGAATCCGGCACCACTAGAGTACCATCTTTGGCTATACGTTGCAGTGAAAAAGTTAATCACACTGGCTATCAGTATGCCAATTGGGATGCTAAACTCAACAGCTAGTTGAATAGACGAATCTTTTGGAACTCCCTTTTGGCCTCATCGTATTCTCAATTAGATAATTGGGACTATCAGAGTTGGAAAAGGTAGATAATGTGATGAATAAAACGATAACTCTGGCACCACCCAAACTAGATCACCATATCTAGTTATTCAAGGATCATGTTTTGCTCCCACACCATTGTGCATTGTTCGATGCGTGCCCTATTCTCGTGTTTGTGTGAAAGTCTATCACCGTACATCGACTATCAGACCTCTCTTTTCTCATGCATATACAACTTAAGGGTTTCAAAGATGGAGTAAAAGACTGGATCGTGCTCGAATCGTAATTTCTTCAAGAAATGTTATATACGACCCCAATTGTTGATTAATAAAATTGTATGACCAGAAATAAAACGCTGTTACTACAAAAGAAGAGAATGGTGACTGAAAACGGCCACCGGTGGTACCTTTTGACAATCAAGTCAGTTTTCGGGATTCGTATATTGAAGAAATAAAATATGCGTTTAACTTTTCATACTTGATTGGTTGACCAATGTCACATTTATAACCAGTTGATGATCCGAGCTTCTCGTGATTCGGGAGAGATTTTTTTGGGAATCTCATCATCTCGTCATCATCATTTGAATTTAAAATGATCGGTTATTCTTTTTGAATTTCAACTCGTTGATCATCTTTTATTTAAATTTGAATTGTCGTCATATTTTCCTTTATTAGAAAATATTACCAAATATTCGAATCAAGCAGCTTGAATTCCTAAAACTACCTTTGATTCACGAGAAATATTTGAATTTCATGAACAAAAAGTGAATACAATTCTGTAAAACAAAAGAGACAATAAAATTATGAATATAAATATACCTATACTACTATATAGTCAGCCGAATATATTTAAGAAAATTATAAAAATGAATGTGCAAGGAAACCAAATATTCAAAATAATAGAGAAAAATATCTTGAATTAAGCATATTTAAATGGAATATTTGTTAACTTTGTTTGGAATAATAAAAAGACCTTGTTCTAGATATGAACAAAAATAAGAAAAAAGAAAATCATTTATTATCAATATTTGTGTTAAATTAGTGAAAACAAATGACAAGTTGTATCTATCCGTTCACATATAAAACGGTTGTATTAGGATAAACAAAAGTCAGGGGGATTGAATTGCAATTGGTTGCCAACTAAAGGATGATTCATAAAAATCAATTAGGAATAGATCTCAAAAGATATGACTATATAACTATTGAATTGCAATTGATAGCTAAAGAAATAATAACTGTATTAGAAAAAAAAATTAATACACTTTTAATGATGATTGATCAATACCAATTAAGAGAAATGATTGAAAAACTCTTTTTGTATTTTTAAAAATATGAAAAAAGAAATGATTGAAAAACTCTTTTTTGTATTTTTTAAAAATATGAAAAAATATTTATTTATTTATATTTTTATTTATATATATATTTTTAAAAAAAACCCATAGACTTTAATAGATATAGATAGATATACATCCAAATTTATTTTATCTTATTTATTGAATGCATAAGAGTAACCAAACGGGTGACCAATCTGGTTTTCAAGATATAATAAGTTGAAGGTTTTATACTTTAAATTGATTTTCAAAATAATGTTTAAATTTTTTTTTTAAATTATAAAAAAAATTAGTTATTCATAAATAAGAAATATACGCTATCCCATCAATGCTTTCATTAATAGTCTATCGATTGTTTATTATTAAAGATTGTAACTTAGTAATTTCTCTTCTATTCTACCTCCAACGTAAAAGGTGAGAATTTTAAGTCTCTAACAAATGAGTTTGTGAGTTTCTTACCAATAATTATTTTTATTTTTGTGATTTTAAAACATCTATTTGAAGAATTGAGTAGAGGTGCAATTCAAAAATAATAATAATAATAATAATAAATATTGTTTCCTTTTGTGTTTTAAAAGCATTTCTTTGAAGAATTGAGGGGTTTGCAATTGAAGTGGATGGGGCGGAGGGACTCAATTTTAAAAAGTATAAAACCTTCAACTTAGTTCTTTATAATTTATAATTTTTATATTTATATAAATAGGATCAAAACACACACTTTTCTATATGAAATTCAAAGACGAAAAGAAAAAGCCCAACACTCGAACACCTGAGGTAACAACCAAATAGACAATCTTAGTCTTTGTATGATAAGAAACCACAAATTAAGTAATATTTTTTAAAAGTTATTTGAATTTCACTTAGGAAAATAATTGTCACTTAAAATTAAATAAATTTTTTATTTTTATTTTATATTTTAATGCTGAACGATTAAATTTTAAAAATATATATGAAAATAATTTTCAATTTATAATATTAAAATAATTTTCAATTTATAATCACCAATGAAAACTTAGCACTTAAAATATTCAATACTTAAATTTAAATTTTACCGGACAACACCTAAAATGTCTAAATAAGTAGAGCTCTAGAAGCAAGCTAGAATTCAAATCTTCATCTCCACTATCCTCACATCATTTCTTTCATTGGAAGTACGAAAAGTGTGCAAAACGTAGATAACATACTTATTTAGTACTTGAATTTATTTATCAAAGTCGAAAAACACCCCCAACAACATCCTGTAATTGATCATATAAACATTTTGTGTTGTAAAAATCAACATAATCAATCAAGAGCTCATCAAATGACAATGAAATGTTTCCATACGTTCCCAGACATTTCTTTCACGTTAACTTCGTCATTGTCATCTTGTCCACTTGGTCTGTAAACTCGGGGGACTAAGAATTTACAAGAAAAATGTTATAAAGTCGTAAAAGGATTGGTTGATAACATCATCGAGTGTTGAAAATGAAAACTTGAATGGTTTATCCTTTAGAGAGCTTCTCCGTAAATGCAACACCTTTAAATCGAAAATATACCAATTTACGAGCAATGGAAAGCAAATTCATATCGATCCAAGCATTGAATGGTCCAGAAACAGTGCACCTGCAAAAATTACAATTTCAAAGCAATGTAAGTCCTACATCATCTGCTTGAATTAAGAGTTCTATTTAATATAAGCTTCAACATACATTGCCAGAAACGAATCTGTTAAATCATTATCAGGAATTAATCATAACAGATCAAGGTAAAACAAACCGAAGCATGTGCAGAACTGGGATTGACAGATAAACAGTTGCACAAATTTACGGAAATGGTATGTGTGTTAATGCTCCATTTCCGGTTACACTGCTTTCATGCACCCTTAATTATACAAGCCATTGCTGTTTTTACCTGCACATGCCCCAGACGAGTAAATTGCTAGTTTTTAAAGTTAGTAATATCCACTAAAAGTGGAGAATGGCAACTAAATTTTATTAGGTTTCTAAAACAAGTTGAAATTTCAGAAGTTATTATAAAACACAGAGATAGAAGAAATATATCTCACTGATATGGATACTAAACTGCATTCTCTATTCTATGATGGTTAACAATTATAGTATCGCATTAACCAACTTGGCCCCTTTCTAGGGTTTCGAGTGTCACAGCAAGATCATTCAAGAAAACTTGGCAAATGCAAGATGAAATAAGAATAGGATTTGTCTGTAACCTGGACAAATTTGGGGGCTGTCTGCATCATATGACTCTGGTTCAATCTTACCGGTGATTACCAGAACAAAACTGTGGTGCCCTCTAGGTCAAGCAAAATCTCAATAACCAAATTTAGGGCTTCGCTTTTGCAAAAAGCTGTGAAATCCATGCTCTTGCTTTTATTCAAAGTACACTTCCTGAGTCACTAGTTTGCAAGTTCTATCAAAAGTCACAACATAACCAAATCGATTATACATTATCAATTTTGCATCTGCTCAAATATATATATTTTTATCCTGCCTTAATGAATGTTAGATTAAATAGAGAAAATGGAAAATGTTGAACCACCCTTCTGTTATGGGAGATTGTGGACTTAATTTCTTTCATCGTCCAATTCCACTTTTTTTCCTTTTTCCATCCAAACTAAATTGCTTGTTTGGTGCTCCCACAACATAGATGATTTTAGAATTAAGATCACAAAGCCATAAGGTGAATGTTTATTGATGTTGGTATAATTATTAAACAGAAACACATGCAGTCTCTGAATCACAAACCCACAAAGCAAAAGTTGAATTTTTTTTTTCCCATACAATTACAAACACACCCACAATTTTCAAATTTCAATCCAGATGGACCAAAACAATACATATATAAATAATACACACATTTGACCAAAAAAGAATTGCCCAACAATGAAAAACAGTGAGTTATGTGAATCAGAGACAAAAATTCCTTGCACTCATAATTCTTCTCTCTCTGGTCTCAACACCGGCTTTCGCTGCCAAAAAGGTACAACATTTTCTTTAGTGCAATTTCATCAACCGTCTAACCAAAGAGAAGTGTTTGGGCTTGAATAGGACGTAGTTAATTTTGTTAATGAAGCCAAAACTAAGAAGAGGAAAAAACACTAACAAAACCCGACTTTGTAACCCATGTTTTTAGACCTGCCAATTAATTTCTAGTTTCCTTCTGCCTCTTGCAACAACCTGACTTTGTAACACATGTTTTTAGGAAGAGATGATTGCTCTGTCTCAAATAGCTGCTTTCGAGGGTGCTGGCGAGGTTTTAATGGAATTGCTATTTTTCGCCACATACATGGCAACAAGGATTGGACATGAACGTTGGTTGGGGGTATGGTACAAAGCACACTCAATCAAATCTCTGTTATCGTGCAGAATGGAGGGTGATAAAATAGCTGATGACGCCGAAGAGTAGGCTCCTGAAAATACATATAGCTTCAGAGGCATTACAAAGAGTAAAGGATTTGAAGGAACTTTGGATGTACATGGAGGAGAGGACGCGGGCCTTTTCCTCTCTAATGGCAAGGATGCAGGCCTTTTCCTCTAATGGTGCACAATCTCTCGATGAAGACAGCCTTTCAACAAAAAGAATTGTATAGACATACTTTTCTTTTCTTTTTTTTTTTTTTTTTTTTCTTTTCGGATTACTAGTAGGCTGTTTTAGCTTAAGAATGGAACGTATCTGGTTTTGGTATATATAGTTGATATCTGGTTGGTTAGACATGCCTTTACTTGGTTTTTGGTATAGGAAAGAAGTTGCACCTTACTGGTTGTTGTTTTTTTTATTGAGTAGTTTCAAAGTAGTTTTTGACAATTACTTCTAATTTTTATTGAGTTTCAAAGTATTTTGTGAATGAAACTAATCAACAACCAACATGTTGAGACCCTCTGAAACTATATATATATATATATATCCAACGATATATCTAAGGCAGCTTGTAGTGATTTCAGGTAGTCTAAAAAATACCAAATTCAAAGACATGACAATAAAAACCAAAAAGTTACCTCAAAAGCGACTAATTTGTCTTTATAAATTTAATAGGCCATGCAATCGCTTTTCCATAAGCATCTTCAAGGTCAAAGTAGTTGTGCGTTGGCCTGTATAGGGGTACCTCATGAATACGCATATGGTTGACCCAAACCTTCCAACAATCTGGTCCAAGGGGTATATTATCTACGGTTTCACCAGGATCCTTTGATGCAATTTCTCCGTCAGCAACTACTTCTCCAGTCCCACACCAATGTAGCAATTCACATTCTGGTCTATCAATATTTTCCGTATGCGGAACACTAGAGGTGGCATTAGTTGGAGCCGTTGCAATACCACGCTGTGACTATTATGATAAATACAGTTAGATATTTAGAATGGTCTTACTAAATTGGAAAAAATATGCACAAGAACATATTTATTATAATATGTAATATCATGTTTATCATGAACATTTACCAAATGGGGAAACTAATTGAGAGACTTGAGCTCGAACGTCACTCATTTCTTGAGTCACAACTTTGAACTTAGCATCATATACTTTTGCTTGATCACGTTGTTGTGCTTTTCTATCTACTTTTGAAAGAGTCGCCCCAAACCCCATACCTCGGATCAGGGACGGACCCAGCAGGGGACTAGGGGGGGCAGATGCCCCCCCTGAATTTTTAATATTTTCATTTTATACCCTAATGTTTTTAAAATTTATGAAAATGCCCCCCCTAAAATTAGAATTCGCCCCCACTGGATTCTTTTTTTTTTAGCATTTTATACTTCAAATTTTGATAATTTATGAAGATGCCCCCACTATAATTATAATTTGCCCCCCTAATTTTTTTTTTTTTTTCATTTTATACTTAATTTTTTTAAAATTTATGAAAAAAACCCTATTAAAATTACAAAAATGAACCCATCATATAATTTTGTACCCACAAATTAAAAATTCGCCCCCCCTCACCAAATTTTCTGGGTCCGTCACTGCCTCGGATACGTCCTCTACGTTCTGGGCCTAAAACTTTTGAAACTGCATCATTGTGTATAGAGACGGGATGTTGAAATGTAGTCGTTTCTGAAATGTCTCATATTTTTGTCTAAAAATAAATAGATGTCAGAATCTGAAAAAATGGAACAAGTATAAATTATAAATCTCAAATCAGTAGTTACAATTTTACCATTGTTTCTTGAACTGCTTCATTTGGGGTCTTACCATTCTTCCTAGAATGACCTCTAATCCAAACATCTACTCGTGATATTGTGTTAGGTGCTTCACTTTCTCTTTCCTGAATTATATGTTAAAATGTTCTTACCAAATTATCAGAAACTATATATATAAGAAGTAAATTAATAACACAATCTGGTTTAAATAAGACATAAGTGTGCTAGTTAATTTCATATTATATACACACTTCATGGGACTCAAAATTTTGTGCATATTTATTTTAATAAGAGAGCAAACCAATGAATCCATCATCTGAGCTTGTGTATCTTGATGAGATAAAGCTGTAAAAACCATGTTTGAATGAAAATCAAAGCTGGATTAGATTTGTCTATTAAACCCTCATTGCTGTAAAACAGTTAAGACTTGAGTACTGAGTTGCATTATGCTTTGAAGCCTGGCATTGAACTGAGCTAAAATAGATATACCTTGCTGGAAACATTGATTGTATCTTATGAGCAAGTGTATTTTGATATATTAAGGTAGTGTACACCAAGTGCTGATTTAGCTTCTTATGAGGAGTTCCACCTTTTGTTCCGGGTGTTCTTTGTAAGCTAAATATTGAAAAGGCTTACAATCATGTGAGCTGGAGTTTCCTTCTCTACTTGTTAGAGAGGATGGGATTCGGTGGGCAGTGGAGGAGATGGATTCTTTTTTGCATCTCTAGTGCTCGTTTCTCTGTCCTTGTGAATGGAGCGCCGACGGGTTTCTTCTCTAGCTCGAGGGGTTTGAGACAAGGGGATCCGCTTTCCCCTTTCCTGTTCCTTTTTGTGATGGAGGCTCTTAGTAGACTGCTAAAGAGGGCTGTGGAGCTGGGTTTTTTGAGAGGCTTTAGGGTGGGCAGGGATGGTGCTTGTCAATTGGAGGTTTCTCATTTGATGTTTGCAGATGACACTATCGTGTTTTGTGATGTGGATGCGTCCCAGCTGAGGTATTTGAGATGCATTTTGATTTGGTTTCAAGTTGTTTTTGGCCTTAAGGTTAATGTTGGTAAGAGTATTCTTGTTCCTGTTGGGGATGTTCCGCAGATTGAGTTGTTTGCTCACATCCTTGGTTGTTGCACTGGCTCATTTCCCATTTCTTATTTAGGTTTGCCTTTGGGTGCCCCCGGAGCTGGGATCCAGTTGTGGACAGAGTCGAGAGGAGGTTGGCGGGTTGGAAAAAGCAGTACCTGTCTAAGGGGGGTCGGGTTACCCTGATTAAGAGCACCCTTTCTAGCCTTCCTACATACTTCATGTCTCTGTTTCAGATTCCTTCTTCAGTGGCTGAGAGAATTGAAAGATTGCAGTGCAACTTCCTTTGGAGGGGGGGGGGGGGGAAGGGAAGTTCAAATTTCACTTGGTTCGGTGGGATCAAGTGTGCCGTCCAATTCAATTTGGAGGCTTAGGGTTTTGGAGGTTGTTGCCGTTTAATAAGGCTTTTCTTGGTAAATGGCTCTGGAGGTTTGGGATCGAGAGGCATTGGTTATGGAGGAAAGTTATTGCTAGCAAATTTGGGGAAAGTCGTGGTGGGTGGTGCTCCCTGGAGTTGTGTGGTCCAAGGGAGGTGGGACTTTGGCATTTCATTCGGAGGGGTTGGGATGATTTCTGCAAGCATGTCCGTTTTCGTATTAAAGATGGAAGGAGGATCAGTTTTTGGAGGGATCTCTGGTGTGGGGATCTCCCTCTTGCTCTCGCGTTCCCTCGGCTTTATAGGATTGCTTCTCATCGACAAGCCATGGTTGTTGACTGTTATCATCTTGATAATGGGAGACTGTCTTGGGACGTTCAGTTCAGGAGGCATTTTCAGGATTGGGAGATCGAGGATGTTACTCGTTTTCAGGAGCTGTTGTATAGTCAGGTGATTTCTTTTAGGGGATCGGATTGGTGGTTCTGGATTCCTACCTCGCATGGCCGTTTTGAGGTTAGGTCCTTTTTCAGATGCCTTTCGGTTGGTCATGGAGATCCCTTCCCTTGGAAGTTTATTTGGCGGTCCAAGGATCCCCGTAAGGTCGCCTTTTTTGCTTGGACCTCTGTTCTGGGTAAGATTTTAACCCAGGATAATCTGAGGAGGAGGAATCAGGTGGTGGTTAATCACTGTTACATGTGTTTGTGAAATGAGGAGACTGTTGATCACCTCCTTTTACATTGCAGCATGGCTAGAGATTGTTGGGATCTGATGCTTCGTTTATTTGGGGTTCACTGGGCCATGCCTTTTTCCTCTAGAGGGTTGATTGAGGCTTGGAGAGGCGTCTTTGTTGGGGCTGGCATTAGGGATGCTTGGAGGGCTACGCCGCTTTGTATCTGGTGGTGTATTTGGCTTGAGAGAAAGAGGAGATATTTTGACGGGAAAAAGAAGCCTGTTTCTATGCTTAAGTTCTCTATTATTTCTACTCTTTTTTGTTGGGTTTCAGGGAGAGATTATAGATCTTTGGAGGAAATTATTATTTTTTTGGCCTCTCTGAAGGTCTAAGGAGCCCTTTGGCCCTTTTGTTCCATTTGTTCCGTTGGGCTTCGCTCCCCTTTTTAGAGCGTTTTTTAAAAAATCTTACTTATCAAAAAAAAAAAAAAAAAATGTCAAGTGCAAGTCAAAAGTGTTCATGGCTATACATTTACATATTGGTATTTGTCACAAGGGTATTTCAGTCATTACACCTATGTGTGACAATGAATTAATATTCCTAAAGGTGCTGTAATACAATTGCAAGGTTATTATTTTGAAGTGAGGACAATTCTGAAGTGGCAGCAAATACAAATCTGAAGTGAGGGCAATTATGGTATTTCCTTTGTGCAATGAAGGACCCTCTACATTGTGCCACGTGCACAGTGGTCCTAGAGGGAGAGGATAATGACAGAAATGTGTATTCTTAGGTGTATATATCAGCATTGTACAATGACTGATGTAGGCTGCAGAAAAAGTGATTGTTGTCATGATGAGGGCTGTACGGGGGGTATTTTGGTCCATTCACTGAATATATTATCTGAATATTTCCTATCCAATGATTGGTGGATGATGTCTCACTCTTATCCACACTAGGGCAGCACAATGACAGTATGTGTATGCTGTTATAGCCAGCAGCAGCAGGGTGTTCCTTTGTTAAGAACCTTATGAGCTTCATTATAGCTTCTATGAACAAGGCACTCGAGAGCTAAAGAATATATATGATTTCAGAGAGATTCAGTGAGGTTGTGAGCTTTATTTGATCTCTGTAATCAGCAAGTAAAAGGTGTGAACTCATTCATGAAGACAGATATGAGTTTTCTGGTGCAAGAAGGGGGTTTTGAAGGTGTAAATTAGCTGTGGTCACCTCAGGGGCTGGAACAAGGGCTGAACTAGTGTAACTTGGTGGCTTACATCTGCAGAAGGCACCTACACAACCAAAATACAGCTGGTATCAATTCTCATACCTCAAACCTGCTGTACTTTTCATTATCTAAGGCCTAGCTGCTGTGCGTGTGCTTTGTAGTGATATAATTTGATGTTACATGGCTATTTATCACTTGATCATACTTATATTGTTAAATCAAGACTGGACAATCTAAGTTTCATGTCAGAAAAGTGACCTCAAGGGTTTTGAAGTGCCAAACCCTTGTATTCAAGGCTTGTCAGCTGAAATTTGTAAAACCTGTGAACTGAAGTTGATCAAGCTAGCACTACTGTGATAATCCTCTTAGCATCTATATATAGCTGAAAAATGACTGAGGATAGTGAGTTCAGGACCATATTGCAGTGAAATCCCAATTCTGTTCAAATCTGTCCCTGAGAACAGAATTATTGAAGAAAGTTGTCTTGAAGCCTATTTTGAACTGTGATTTGCTATATACTTGCTAAAAACTGTGAAGTGGTAATTGGAGCATGTTTTATATGATGAATGAAAGTTTTGAGAACTGAAATCAAGGAGGCTCACTCATGGAATTACAGAATTATCCCTAGCTAGCAGGTTTCGGCAGAAACTTGCTGTAAGCATTTTTTGGGGCTGATTTTGATATACATTTTGATGAGTTAGACATCTAAGCCTCTACACAGAGATGAACCAAGTATGTGAGAATTTTTTCAGCCCTGAGACATTGCAAATTGTCATTTATACCCTCTGATTTGAAGTATCACAGCAGCAGCAAAACTGAGTCTACAGTGAGCTGTGTTTGCTGCTGCATTCAAGCTTCATTGTTTATATCCTTGCTTCTATAACTTGTTTATATAAATGAGCACGTTTTATAAAGTGAATTAAAGCTACGGGAGTCATTGGTTGAGGAAGAAATTGAAGCATTCAAGTCTGGGATATCTTCATCTTGAAAAACTAAGGTTTAGCTTGTAAATTGCTGAACTACACATGAAATGTTTATATCTTGCTATACGAGTGTATATCCTCTATTGAGCAAGATTATATAGTTGTTTCAAGACTGTGAGAAGCAAGTTTGGCCACTAGTTCAAGAGAAATCCCAGTATTATCCTTTCAAGGCTGAATTTAGGGTATTGAAGAAAAAAAGGCTGTTGTGAACTTACAGTATTATACCTTGCTTATCTCACTGATATTATCCTCCAAGCAAGTGTATTCTGTCAAGACAAAGTTGTGAAAGTGAAGGTAGAGACCCATTTGAAGCTACATTGCTGTTCTACCCTTGAGAGGCTAATTCTAGGGTTTTGGAGACAACAAGGTTGTTGTAAACCTTCAGAGCTATACTAAATGCCAAAACAAATTGTAATTCTGATTATGTAGAATCTAGTAGGATCTATAAACACTTCCGACCTTTTTTCTTTGCTGTTTGAGTCAGCCCAACTTCCTACTTTCTGATTCATAAAAATGCAGTCTATATATCATATTAAAATTATTATCATCAATAAAAGAAAATCTGAGTAGAAATTTAAAGTCACAAACATACTTGTTCGTATATATTAGATATAGGAGATTTTATGTATTTATTACCATTTCATCTTTCATGCGAGCAAATCCCTTGCGGCTTGTTGTGTGTGGCATCGTTTGCTTAGCTCTCATGTCTTTGAATTCTTTGCTTCTTTCCTGTAAAACAAGAAGTTTAATCTAGCATAAAATATAAATTTCAAAAGTTATTCTAATGCGAAGTTACAATAGATTGTAGAGAACATTGTTTTGTAACAAATTGATCCCTCTCTTCCATTGACTTAACATTGTCAGGCTTTAAGAGGGGGATGGCACGTGCAGAGTTACCATTTCGAGCCACATCTCTTACATCGTTTATTACTTTTGTTCTATAAACACGCCGCATATTTCCCATTGACTGAAATGTATCTTTCATACGAGAATCTTCTATAACAAATTTTTGCTGCATTATCATCATGAAGAAACAAATATTAAATTATGAAGAATAATTAACATTATCTAAATATGCAGTAACTCTATTTTTTCAGTACCTTTATAGCAGCCCATAACATCTGAATGTCATTATCTGATAGCTTTTTCCAACCTGGTAATGTAGCTGGAACCATCTCCCTCACTAGAGCTCCAAGATAAGAACTAAGCCTAGTTCCATTATTCCCAAGTGGTTGTCCAATGTCGTTAAATGTAACTAGAAGTTTATCATTGGTAAAATTTTCCAACTTTGCCTTGACTCTCCCCTTTCGCTTACGAGGATTCATTGTGTTTTCATTAGGTGAAGGGCTACCTCTATCTACGAGTGAAGCACTACCAACTCCCTCAATAGGTCGTGTGGGTGGCGAATTGGACCCCCCTTCTTATATGTTTAGCCTTTCCTTCCCTTGGCGCATCATAGAAGCTATTATAGCTTGTTGCTGTTTCTTTCCTCTTTTATCACCTTGTTTAGATGACTAGATGTAGTACATGCAAAACAAGAAGAAACAGGAATTAATTATTAAATATTCCTCTAATTTTAGCTCACTGAAAATTAATATAACACAACAGTAAACACTAAAAGGCAAAATAAAAAATACTTACTTCAGTAGGACCCATTAATCTTCAAATGCAAGGCCACAATGGGTAAAAGAAAAACCAAAATGTAGATCTGATCAGATAAAACTATCTGAAAAACAATCAAATAACCCAAAAGAAAGAAAAGAAAGGAAAAAAGGTAAAAGAAGAAGATGTAGAAGAAGAAGAAATAAAAGGGAAATATTGAACAACCCAAACAAATATTTCAAAGGATGATCACATATTCACATAGAAAAAGGAGAAAAAGAAGAAAACAATAAAATATTAAAGAAGAGGAGAATGAATACCAACCAGATTAAAGAAGTTTAGTGAACAGGGCATAGTGATTTGAACTTACAAAAACTTATAAAATTGAAGAAATATTATATATACATGAACAGACTAGACTAAAAATGATGTAACCCAAATTATTACAGCAGACAGGTATCATTCCATCACACTACCATGCCCTCACAATCCAACCATTCATAATGTTCATCCTCATCGTTCACAACTGAATCAAGTCTTGATACATCCGATGGTTCATACGACACATAAGCATCCTCTTCCAAATTTTCGAACTCAAGAAAACCTCTTGGTGGTGCTTTAAGTACAACATACCAAATTGATGTTTCAGTATCCCTTGAATAAAACACTTGTTTAGCCTGTGATGCAAGAATAAAAGGATCTTTTTCAAATTGGCTTTGTCCCTCAGGGAGCTTAACCAATGTATGTCCATCTTCGACTTTGACACCATTCCTAATGTTTGCCCAATCACAATAAAACAATGGTACTTTAAATGTGTAGAAGTCTAACAAAACTATATCTCTTAGAACCCCATAGTACGATATTTTTCCAACAACTTGACTTGTGTCTTTTGCACTAGATCGGCACATGGTTTCAGCTTCAACGGCTACACCACTATTTTGTGTAGTTCTTACAACATCTATGGTGCGAAACCACTGTCCATTTATAACATAACCAGAATAAGACAGGAAATCTTTTCTTGGACCTTTTGCAAGAAACTTTAGTCTTTCTGACCTGCTACTACTTCCATTGATTTCGTTTGCAAACCATACAATAAAAGTTTCCATATGTCTTCTCTGCAACAAGTTTCCATTCCTTGAAAAACGCCTATCTGAAGCCATAAGCTCCTCCAAATGCTTTCTGTACAAAAGCAAAATGCAAAAGTACTGTTACACAACATAATTTACACATTAATAATTTTTTATATGAGGTGTACTTACTCTATATATGGTTCCACTTCACTGTCATTGAATAATATATATCGATGAGCGATTTCTAACATGCCAGTATGCATGGTTTTTAGATTTCCTTTTGAAATTGGACGCCCTTCTATTGTTGTTTCACTTTCAAGGTCCTCATTACAAGAATGATGAACGCCTATTTCAGCTGCTTTTTGCATGTACTCACTGCAAAACTGAACACATTCTTCTGCCATATAACGTTCTGCTATACATCCTTCAGGTTTTGATCGATACTTAACGTATCCTTTCAAAACCTTCATATTTCTAAAATAGAAGAATAAAATCATTAACGATTCCTATTTTATAAAGAGAAATGGAATATAGATAAATACATTAAATGTTTCATAGCAAATATATATATCTAATCAATTAACTAGAAATAAAAATCTGATTAGTGACTACCTCTCGAATGAATACATCCAACGATATTGTACTGGTCCACATATGCGAGCTTCCCGCGTGAGATGAATAGTCAAGTGAACCATAATGTCAAAGAAAGATGGAGGAAAGAACCTTTCAAGCAAACATAAAGTCTCTGCAATATCATTTTCACATCTTTCTAAAGTGTTTTTATCAATAACCTTTTGACAAATTTCATTAAAGTATGCGCATAGTCGAAATACTGCATTCCTTGGCCCCTTTGGTAAAAGACCCCGTAGTGCTACTGGTAGCAATTGTTGCATTAAAATGTGGCAATCGTGGGACTTCAGGCCTATAATCTTCCATTCAGCTAATGATACACACTTCCCAATGTTAGAGCTGTAACCATCAGGTAATTTTAAGTCATGCAACCTCTTACAAAAACGTTACTTTTCTACATTCGATAATGTATGTGGTGCTGCCGGTAAGTAATATTTTTCTCCAATCTTCTTTGGATGCAACTCATCTCTAATGCCCATTTTTTCCAAATCCATGCGAGAGTTAAGTCCATCCTTTGATTTTCCCTTTATGTTCAACAAAGTGCCAATAATGCTCTCACAAACATTTTTCTCAATGTGCATTACGTCAAGATTATGACGCACAGGTAATACCTAAAATAACAATTATATGAATAATAAAATTTATGTGTAATAACTTTATAAGTAAAGAATGAATATATATCTATACATATGAAATTAGTTTATTAACAATTACTGACCTCCCAATATGGTAACTAAAAAAATATCGACTTCTTCTTCCATGGTTTAATAGAAGTTGTATCAGTCGCCTTTTTATTCTTCTCATCCTTTCCCCAACTGTTTTCATAATTTTTAACTGCATGTAAACTTTTCAAACCGGATAAAATTTTAGGTTTCCTACTCCAGTCTTCTTTTCCATTAAACCAAGCTTTTTTCTTTCGAAATGGGTGACCATGTGCAAGAAATCGACGATGGCCAGGGTATACATGCTTTTTACAATGCTTTAAACGCAATGAAGTCGTGTCAACACTACAAACCTGGCAACCTACTTTACCCTTAACTGTATGACCAGATATATTTCCATAAGCTGGAAAATCATGAATTGTCCACATTAAAATTGCCTTTAAAATGAAATTGGACTTATTAGATGCAACATATATCTCCACTCCTTTTTCCCATAACTCTTTCAAGTTTTCTATAAGTGGCTCTAAGAAAACATCTATGTCATTCCCTGGTTGCTTTGGCCCTGGAATTAATAATGTCAACATCATATTTTCTTTTGTCGTACATAGCAAAGGGGGAAGGTTATATGACCAAGTCCACTGGCCAACAACTATACCTACTGCTCAGATCACCAAATGGATTAAAGCCATCTGTAGAAAGCCCAAGTCTTAAATTGCGAGGTTCTGACGCAAAATCGGGCCAATTTTTATTTATTTTATCCCATGCAAGGGAATCTACTGGGTGCCGCATCTTGCCATCCCTGCTTTTGTGAGTAGAATGCCACAGTAATTGTTTAGCCTTTTCAGTTAACCTAAACATTCTCCTTAGTCTAGGTATTATTGGAAAGTATCGTAAAACCTTGGCTGGAATACCAATTCGAATTTTTTTACTGCGATCACTAACTTTCCAACGCGAAGCACCACATTTTGGACACCTATCCAAGTTTTCAAAATCTTTTCTGAATAAACCACAGTCATTAATACATGCATCTATCTTTTCGTACCCCAAATTGAAAGTTTTCAATAGCTTTTTTGTTTCATAGGTGCCATTGGGAAGCGTACTATTATCAGGGAGAAAGTCCCGAACAATTTTAAGAAGCTCATCAAAACCGGTGTACAATAGATTATGAGCGGCTTTGTGCTTGTATAATATAATAATGGCAGAAATCAAGTGTTTTGTGCAACCAGGAAACAAAGGAGTTTCAGCTTCCATCAATGACTTTTTGAACTCTACCTCTCTTCTTTCATACATAGGATCCGCAACATCATCATTATCACTATCAAAATACGCATCTCTATACATTTCATATGCCTCTGGTGGATCCATATCATTTTCATCACCTTCACTATGTATAAATGTAGCAGGATTTTCCCCATGAAAAACCCATGTAGTGTATGTAGGATCCATTCCCTCAATCACCAAATGCGCAAATACTATATCAAAATGTTGACGACGTAGGTTTCCACAAAGTCTGCATGGGCATATGATCTTTTCTGGATTACCCGCATTAGCTTGAGCCATATTTGCAAAGTTTCTTGCTCTATTTCTATATTCAATTGAAACTCTACAAATGAAAGCACAAAGTTTCATACATACAAAAAAGTAGGTACCCAATACATTTAATATTTATTTATCAATGCCTAAATTAAAAGGGGGAAAAAAAAAACCTGCCGGTAATGTGCACCCATTCTTTATCCATCATCTTAATTTTGACTTGTTTTTCAGTTTGATCCTAAAATTTCAAGTTACTTGTTTTATATATATATAACCAAACACACATATATTGGGAGAGAGAGAGATATAGAGTGTATTGAAATTTGAATGTGCAACATTTATAAAACAAAACCGAAGATACACACAACACATTTTCTTAGCCAAAACAGACCAATATAAAAAGCTACTGCATATAAATATATATAATATCAAAGGAATCATTAAACTTAAATTTGGATAAGGACATTCTAACAATTGAAGGAATTACAAAAGGAAACAAAATGAAACAAAAAATTAGGAACCTTCAAGATACTGAAAACATCAAGTGCTAGTGGCTAAAATAAAGGAAGTTTAAGAAACTGAAAGCAATATATGCATATTATGAATTGAAAAATAAAGTAAAATTCTAGAGATATTGACCGGAGTAGAAAAAAAAATAGTCATATTCTTTCTAATGTTTAAACTTATTATATCAAATCTAACTGAATAGAGCATGTACATGTATGTTCAGCCCTTCATTGCAAAAATGATTCAAAAGTGCCCGTGCGTGTATCTAGTTGAAACTATTCTCCCTGATGTATTGACATAGAATAGTCACATTGATTAACCAAAAAAAAAAAAAAAAAATACATAGCTACTGTAATTTTCAGATATACGCACGCAACATAGTATTCCATCTAAAAAATTATAATCTTACCAATATTAAGGCAAATAATAATAAATAAATAAATAGGAATAGAACATATGTCACCAAGAAAAAGATGGTTAAAAAAAGTAATGCATAGCACCCAACCAAACTCAAACTTCACAAGTAACAAAATTAAATCAACAAAGCTGAAAAAATAGTTAAATATTTAAAATGTAAATCTTTCAAGGAGATATAGTGAAAATTTAATTGGAGATTAATTATTACCTGTTAGCTTTGCCTTTAACTTTCTTGGAGAACTTGCTGAATACAACGATTACCCTAATTCCCACTTGTTGACAGTAGTCCTAATCTCGTATTTGGAATTGGTACCTGGAAGAAAGAATCACAAATTTATCAAAATAAATATCATAATATACATATGTGTAAGTGTATTCCTACATATACAAAACTTATACATGTCTTCTAATTTTTTGTTTAGTAATTTTTTTTTTTCCTAAATAATTATGAAAAAAAAAAAAAAAAAATTCCTAAATGGAGGAAATTTTTATAATTTAAATCAATATGATACAGCGGAAACCGAGGGCATGCCCTCTCAAGAAGCATAATGTAGACAAAGGGATAAACCAACAAATAGGTTCCCAAGACAAAGCAATACATAAAGACAACCATAACAAGCAACTCAGCTCAAACAGCCCACACAAGGCACATAAGAGAAAAACCACAGAAACACAACAAAAGCCACAATCTCCATTAAACACCAACACTGACCTTTACAACCTAAATGATCTGGATCTTATTTGAGGTTCAATTTGCTGATTCCATTTCACTGCAACTCCAGTGACCGTCGAATATCATTCCAAAGGGTTAACAGAGAGATGATAGAGGATTGTTCAGGCCATGGATGCGAAGGGAAAATCGATGGGTTAATAGAGAGGATGGATCTATGAGTTTGCAATGATTTGGGTTTGAAGGGAAAATCGGTTCTATGAGTTTGCAATGATTAGGGTTTCAAGGGAAAATAAATGCCCAGCAGCGAGGAGAGAGAGAGAGAGGATCGTGAGTTCGTGCGCAGGAAATTGGAGACCAAAATATAAAGAGTGGGAATTTTGGGCGCTAAAATTTAGTGAATATTAACAAATAATAAATAACCGTGTATAAAACATTATTTTTTCCTACTTTTTTTACCGTATCTTTTTGTTAAATGCTCAGTGTTTTTTATTTTTATAACAAAATGTAAAATTAACAAGGTTTTGAAAATGTTGTAGATTAAAATAAAAATAATTTGTTGTAAAAAGTAAGTATTTAACAACATATAAGTATGTGCCTTGTAAGTATTAGGTTGTTAATAACCGTTTTTCTTGCAGTGCCCATGCTCACTATAAAATTTATAAGCATCTTCAACTGAATCAAATTCCATTTCATACTGGGGTTTCTGTTCTACATCAATTGTTGACTTATCCATGGGAAGCCAAAAATATATTCAGATATTGCCATTCAAAAATCACCACTGCCAATCAAAAATATAAATAAAATAATACAGGAATCATATCTTATTTATTTAAAGAAAAAATTATGATTTATACACACAATGGAACTATTTGCATACTGGAAATGATTCATATATAGTATTCAGTAGATTTTCTTGTTTCTTGCATGCTGAAGAAAGTTGGAAGCCTAGAGCTGAAGCTCTGACTCGAGATTTAGTTCACTCGTAAAAAATCAACAAGAAAAAAACAAAATGAGTTACGGTAAGCTCAAATCTTACAATGTATGATAATAAGAAAGATTTTATAAAGAAATTAGGGTTTATATTACACAATGTGCCTCAACTTTTACAATGTACGGGATCTGAAGGGGAGAGAGAGAAGGTAATGTATCTGATCTTAAAAAGGGGATCTGGAGGAAAACATCAATGATAAGTCAACATGGATTGTGTGCTCGTCCTGATTTGTTTTTGTTTTTGTTTACTTTTCTTTGTATTTGACATTGAAAAGAATAAGCAAGGAAAAAAAAAGGGACTAAAATCAACAGGGAACTTTTTAAGGTAGATGTTTAGAATGGTTGTTCCAAAATATGCAAATATGCACCATTAGCTTGTGAAATATTGTTGACGACAAGTCTACAACAATATCCATACTCAATATGTGTATATCATCATTGGCACTTATAAACAAGTCCAACTTGAACAAAAATTGTGCAGAAAAGTAGATGTTTTACCATTTTGCTAAGGAACCTATAGCAGGTCATGATTTTCACAAGCCATGACAATTAATGATTTGCTCATGTTAAGAGAAACAGCCGACCCCATTCGTTTGAAATAAAGGCTAAAATGATGATAATGATGATGCTTAAAGATACATGCCATTTTTTTGTACTATGGTCAGCATATCTTTTCACTTGATTGTCAACGGCAACACTTTATACTATGGTCAGCATATCTTTTCACTAGACTGTCAACGGCAATACTCAATGTTTTTTTAACGTAAACAGATGCATTAATGACATAAAAATTCGTTAATGCAAAAACACACATTTGTACTCATACTCATGTCCAGAATTAATGGGCTAGCATGTCAAATGCCTCTTCTTTGTTGGTACGACACACCATAAGGTTTTTCCACATTATTAAAAATTCTCTTCATGAAAATTATCACTTCTGCTATATGAAAAATCTAGTTGGGACACAGTTGTGTTGTTTTGAGTTGTGCTTTTTAAGTGTAAATTTAAAGGAAAGAAAACTTAAATAAAAGGAAAACACAGACCTTTGTTAACAAACATTGCATGAATGGAATCATAGAGGATCTCCAAATGAATTGAAGTAATTTTTATTTTATTTTATTCTTTTAGCGAGAGAGGATTGAAAACTTAAACCACCTTAAAAGACATCAATAGCCACAAATTCTCAAATTGTCAAAACTCTTATAAACCTTGGTTTATAATCCAGGAGCAGTTACACAGAGCAAGAGGCATTTTCCACAATATAAGAGCAAGAATGTATGATAATATCTCCTTATGGACATTAAATATAATACCTGAATAACATCTCAACCTGAACTCTACAAGGATTGCCCTCGTTAAAATTGCACGAGAAATTTATTTCTGGATGCGAACATGTTAGTTCTTTTTCCCCCCAAAATGCTGCTTATGTCCCCTGTGCCATAAAGAAGTCAAGAAGAAAAGAAACTGTAACAAGAAACTGCCGCAAACAAAAAAGCAATCACGAAACACAAAAAAAACAAGCACCACACAAGACACAAAGATTTCTGTGGTTCGGCTTAAAGCAAGCCTAAGTCCATGGCGAAAGAATTCACTATGCGAAAATCAGGAGATCACAAGTTTCAGCCCCCACTCTGTCTCACTCTCTTTCTTGCAGTTTTCAAGTTTCTCTCATTCTTCAACTCCAAATCCTAAATGCCCTTATATACTGGGCTACAGGAGAGCCCTAAACAGGGCCGAAGACCAGCAAGCAAAAAACAGGTCGAAACCAGCCCGGGCTGAAACAAAATTCTGGCCACAACATCACATAAACAAATTAGTTTAAATTATTTAATATGCAGTTTCACTAAATTTAAAGAGAAGAGTGAATGAATGAAGCCAAATGCATGAAAAGATCTTTTTATTTAAAAAAGAAAGAAAAAAAAAAAGAAATGGTGCAAGACTTATAGAAGCTATGAATAAATTTACAGTGATGCATTGACACGAAAAATACATGGAAGACCTGCACATTAATCTTTTAACAAAATGCTGATGCATTCAAGGAAATTTCCAGCATAACTGAAAACACTGAAGACATATATTGCACATTAGGGTGGCACGTAACTCTGCGACAAAGGAAAAAAGTTATCAATTCCTGAAGACTAACTATTATATTAGGTTTCAAATTAATATTTATGTACTCCGTCTTGTGGAGATTAAAGAGGAATGAACAAGAATATATAATATTCTGGAATGTAATGTTTTATGTTTACATCACGTAATCCAAAAGGCCTATTATTGAGGTACTAGTGCATTGGGATTACAATCACCATACACATACAAGGATATCCAATGTTTACTAATTTTGCTAGAACAGCAGAAAGGGATTACAAAGTAACGCCTATTTTTTTTACAGTATATCTTTCTATATCAATAAAGAACAGAAATGCATATTTGCTTTATCAATAACTAATTTTTTAAGTATGTTTCTAACAAAAAGTTATACTCAACCTCTTTAAGACATGCCTCCAGCTAAAAGGAACACCTTAATGACTATATAATGCCTCATCACAGCCACCAAAAGCTGATTGAGGTGGCAGATTACCTATTACAACATCCTTCATACTTGCAGAAGTTTAATGCAGAACGATCAGGTTCTCATCTCTACTACTCCTCCAAATCAAGAAATTTTTTTCAGGATTGTCTCATGGGTGTAGTATATTTGCTTGCACACAGTAGTTTGTTGCCATCTGCCTTTTCATCCAGTAGGTTTGCAAAGGAACTTGTTTCCAAAGAAATCAGAGATGAAAAAGCTAAGAAGCAAGGTGATTACCAAAACTCAGTGGCAGGCCTTATATTTGAAATGCCATTCTTGCCTTGTGGCATTCAAGAATTGCGGCCTCTTCTGACCATTACCTGATATATAGAATATTCAATTTTGGAATAAGAAAAACTTTCCTCCAAATGTCTAGATCTGCTACATTTTATCTTTTCCTGTCACTATCAGAGTTAGAGGCATGCTGCGTAAGGTCTGCAACTGTTGCTGGTCTCATCAATCAAGAACACTGAAAGCATGACCATCAATATCCAATTCAAAAGGGCAGCCCAAGTTGGCCTTGGAAACATGCTCTTGCCTTTTTAATTTGGAAACATAGTTTCCTGATCCATTCAGTTAAAATGGAAGGTTCCCGCTCATCTCTTCAAGCTAACCAATAGGTATTTCACCAGTAGTCTCTACAAGAACATGAACCATCTCGAAAATGGTGGAATCTATGCCCATCACGAATAATAATCTTACGCTGTGTAACCTTGGACATGAATTTCATGAATGTGTGACAGTCACCACAAATCCGAAGGTTCTTCATAATCCGGATTGGTGATCCATTTGGTGTGCTCAGGGTCCCAAAAACAACAGCAAGCTTCTCACTGTGGTAGAGTATCTCATTCTCCTTTTGCTCTTCCTCCACATCAAAGAAAACAAAGTTTGTGTCTGGCATATAACCTCTTTCTTTAAACCATCCATAGAACTTCTTTAATTCTGAATAAATCTCCTCAACCTGATCATGATTCTTATCCTCCGTGAGAAAATAGTGCAGTTTACTCTTGATCTGTATCCAGCTAATTCCTGGTTCTTTAGTCACTTGTCGATCTAACATCAGTTTCCGTATTTCACCTACTTTGTCCCACATGCCTCGAGAAGCATATATATTTGATAATAAAACATAAGGCCCAGATTTCTGCGAACCCATTTGAAAAAGCCTTTCTGCAACTCTCTGCCCAAGTTTCATATTATGATGGATTCTACAAGCAGCAAGAAGAGCTTCCCAGATCACAAAATCTGGCTCTACAGGCATGTTCTCGATAAGAGAGACTGCTTCGGAAAGGCGCCCAGCCCGCCCGAGAAGATCAACCATACAAGTATAGTGCTGAATTAACGGCATAATCCCATAATCGTGGGTCATGGAATTGAAATAGCCCCATCCTTCATGCACCAATCCTGAATGGCTACAAGCACATAGAAGCCCAAGAAAACTAATATGATCAGGAACTAGACCCTCAGCCTTCATTTTTTCAAAAATCTTGACAGCTTCATCACCTAACCCATTTTGTGCACAACCAGCTAAAACTGCATTCCATGTGACTTTATCCCGTTCAGCCATCTCCTCAAAAATTGAAAAGCCATCTTCATACCCAAATTTGAAGTACATTGTTACCAGCGCATTACCAACAGAGACACACAAGTCAAATCCAAATTTATAAACAGAAGCATGTATCTGTTCCCCAAGCTTGTTTGCACCTAGACTTGCACAAGCACTCAGAATAATAGTAAATGTTAATTCATTTGGTCTCATTCCACAGGATAACATGTCAAGGAACAATTGCAAGGCGGCTTCTCTCTGTCCTGCATGGACATAAGCTGATATAATGGCAGTCCACGACACAGGATCACGTTTAGGCATACTTTCAAAGGTGCTGCGGGCCTCATCTAACATGTGATTCTCGGAAAACCCAGTGATGAACGAGTTCCAAGATACTGAATCTCTCACTCCTATCGTACCAAACACCTGAGAAACATCTTCTATGTTCTTGCATTTAGCATACATGGATATCAATGCGTTTCCAACATATGAATTAAATTGGCACCCTGCTTTAATAGAGAGAGAGTGTATTTGTCTACCAATCTCAATAGCTCCAATGCTAGCACTTGCAAAGAGAGCACTTGTGAAGCTAGAATGACTAGGAACACATCCTGATCTATGAAGCTCTGCTAACAGTTCCAAAGCTTCTTTGCTTCGTCCATTTTGCACAAACCCTGCAATCATGGCAGCCCAAGAAGCAGAATTCCTTACAGGCATTTGCAAAAATAAATCTTTTGCTTCCTCAACCATTCCATTTTGAGCATATCCAGCAACCATGGCATTCCACGTAATAACATTTGGGTTCGGAATCTCATTGAATACATGCCTAGCTTCTCTAATGCTTCCATTCTGAGCATAGGCACTCATCATTGCTGTCCGTGTACTGACACTCTGTTCAGGAACACACTTATACACTGCAATTGCATCATCCAATTTCCCACATTGTGAAAAGGCCGAAATCATAGTGGTCCAAGAGTACTCGTTCCGTTCTGGCATTGCATCGAAATACTGCCTTGCAAAATCCAAACACCCATTTCTGGTATAAGCATTCAATATTGCCGCGCCCACAACCACATCACCTTCGTAGTTCGTCTTAATCGCAATTGTTCTTAAACTATCAATCAGTTTCAAATCATCCAAACCCATAATGGCCGATAAGGTAACAACAAAGATCGACTGGTCTGGTCTCACCTTACTTCTATGCATTTTCACAAACAATTCCCATGCGTCTCGATAATAGTTAACCTGAACATACCCAGATATCATAGCCATCCAAGACACAGAATTTCTCTCTACCATCTGATCAAAAAGCTCCCGAGCTTCACCTATCCTACAACAATGACAATACCCGGTAATCATCGAATTCCAAGATGAAACATTTCTCTCCAGCATCTCATCAAACAACTGCCGGGCAGTCCGCAAGTCACCATTTTGAACATACCCACTGATCATAGCGTTCCAAGAAACAATATTTCGTTCCGGCATTGACTCAAACACATCACGAGCCTCCACAATTCGTCCGTGTTTCGCATACCCGGTTAACATTGTAGTCCAAGTCCTCACATTTTTTCCTGCAAAAGCGTCAAATAGCACTCGAGCATCGCCCACTCGACCATTTTGAGAATACCCAGTAATCATAGAGTTCCAAGTGACGGAGTCTCTTTGAATCATTTCATCGAACAGTTGTCGGGCGTCGTCAATGCGGCCAATTTTGGCGAACTCTTGAATCCTCTTGTTGCATTGGATAAGATTGGTTCGTTGGGTCTCTTGAAATTGTACAGAGAGTGTAGATAGAGAGCGAAATCGGCGAAAGAGACCACGATTCATTGAACCCATGTAATCAATTGTCTCTGCATCACAGCAAAACCATTCACAGAGCGGTATACGATAGTCGAAAAAGGTGAACAAAAATTTTGACTCAAAGATCACTTGCCGCGAAAGTGGACGCCAGCTGCTCTTGCATTAGCTGTTGAAAAGAAGAGAGTGAAATCATAAGATGAACTCTCGAACACCCCTCGATGTCAAACATCTCTCTGATCTATTGAAGACTTGCCCTGTTTTAGTATATACTTTATCCAGTGAACCCGGCCCCTTCTTCTTATTTATGATTAGGCACTAGTCACTTCCAGTCTTTCTAATTGGGGTGAATCCTTTGACTACTACACGTGCGCTATGCGGCTTTTTGGCGTCGCCCTATCTTGCTGGAGGAGGCAGCTTCTTTTCTAGAAAAGCAGCTGGGTTCAACCTCGGATTGGTTCTCGCGTCCCTTGTCTCTAATGATTTTGAGTTTTTATTTTACATAGACGTCTATGCATTCACATATAGACTTGAGTTTAACTTATAAAATATCCACAAATAATAACAAATTTAATAATGGTCACAAGCTGATATCTCAAAATTGATACTACCTAAAACTACGACGAATTAGGCCTCAAAAAAGTAGTGGTTTATGTTTTAAGTGGAGGATATTGCATGAACTTTTTTTTTTTTTTTTGGCGATGTTATAAGCAGACAATTAATGAAGTGTAACGTATTTGTGGAAGAAATTTGTATAAACGGAAACAATGTCTTATTTGTAAAAAGTTAAATAAATCATTTAATAAATCTTTTGATTAAATTTAATGATCAATAAAGATGCCTCTTGACTTATTTAGTTATATGCATTCAAATGAATGAGTTATAAGGGTTGCACTCGGACAAGTTTGAGTTATAACTTGAGTCCAACACATCATATCAAATGCTAAATTCAAGTCTAATTTTAATCTAATCTGCAACATTAACTACTCAATTCGAGCCTAACTCATCATTCTATTTTTAAATTCGAGTTTACAATTTGGGCTTAAATTCCGAGTTAAAAATCTCGGTTAAATCGGATTACTCATATGACTAATATTCACACCGAAAATTTAAATGATCTTAAATTAGTTTTAGATTAAATTACTCTTTTTTAAAAAATAAAAAAAAAATGTTTAAAGACATTTTATAAATTTTTAATAAATTACAAACAAATTCTTAAAAAATTAATTATCCTAAATGTTAACATACAATAAGTTAAGATTTAACAAATGAAGTTGAAAAGAAAAAAGTTAATCATAGTTCAAATATTATATATCATGTATTTAAAATATAAAATATATATGAAAATAATATTAGAATTTGAATTGGCTTGGGTTGCTAGCACCTCAACCCAAAGCCAATCCTAATTAAATTCGAATTGAGATTTTTTAACCAGATCCAACTCTAATTATAAAAATAAATGCTCAAACTTACAAAAAAATCGGGCTCGACTCAAGTTGCTCAACCCAAATTGCATCCTAGCTTAAAGGATTCTTAACCCGGCATCACAGTATAGTGCATTTATTGTCTCCTTCTTTTTAAAATTTTTTTTTATTATGAACCTTTTTATTCATTGGATTGCATTCTAATTTTTTGTCCATGAAATCTTCCATGGAAAGAAAAGGTACCAATTCTGCTCCATTATGCTCGAGATATTGGGGCACCAAGGGACAAATATAACATATATGGTTGGGCAAAAATATGCCAATAATTTACACACACTGACACACACACACACACATATAAATCGTTTTAGTGTAAAATAACAATCCCAAAACCAACATTAATGTATGAGCCTCCAAACAATTCCCATTTCTTTGCTCAAGTTGTTCGAGTCCTGCTTTCCGTGTAAAGTTTCTGGCAAATAATTGCTAGGACCATTTTAATTCGTCAAAAAGTGATGTCATTAATATGTGAGATGTTTTGACAACGTGATACTGTGAAGTTGCGGTCCTAATTTTGTTTGGGATTGTGTTGCAGCTTGGTTTTGACAAAGAAATATGCATTTCTACAACTTGGTTTTGACAAAGAAATATGCATTACTACAAACTGTACAAACTGAGTATACATTATTCGCTGGGATTTAAAAATAAAATAAAAACAATCCATAATCTTCATTCTCATTCTATTGTTTTGGATATATATATGAGTTCTGATCTCTTACTCCTCGTGGAGTAAGAAAATTAATCCACACTTTTTATATAGACCGTTAGATTAAATCTAACGATCATTTTTCAAATCCATCTATAGCATTTCCTTTTAATACAAACCACTCTTACCCTATTTTTAGTTTCTATATTTAATTTTACAATTACCACCTACAGTAATTATCAAAATAAAAATAAAAACCTTTGAAAAAAAAAACTAATACCTGTATATTTTACTAAAAATTTGTTTTTATTTAGGTATTTCTTTGAAAGAAAAACAATACATGTATCTTTCAATTTTGTAACAACAGTATGATATTATAGTCTTTTCCTAAGAAACATCTTGTTGTTCTTTGTATAAGTAAATTAATATACTTCTCTAGTATAAGTAAATTTACCAATAAATATACTGTAATGTTATATTTTGGAATATCGTATTGATTAATTGGAATTGAAATTGAAGAAAATTTCATTTAAAGTTTGAACAAAAGTTCTTTCTATTTCAATTTGAAGTTGGGCATTTGGTGAAATTCATTATTGAATCTGTGAATTTGTGTAATACCCCCTAATTTCGGAACACGGGTTGATCAAGTCCGCGCACAAAATCAGGGGATATTTTACCAATTAAAGTATTTAAACAAGCACGGATTACAAAATGAAATAAAGAATAAAATAAAACGCTGAAGAAATCCAATTAATAGTAAATCCATTAATAACTTCCAAATGGTTACAACTCGGGAATCCTGTAACTCAAGGACCCCTTAACCAAAAGTTACTATTTAGAATTTCAACCAAATAAGTACTAATATCAACTGAAACAAAACTAATATCCTACTTTTACGTAAATAGAAGGAATGGACAAGTCCTCCAGTTGCGGATCCTCAACCTTGAGACTTGACCTTCTACAACCTGAAAAATAAATCGCGGGTTAAACCCTACGAGCAAGTTCTCTCTACCAAGCCTCTGAAAACCAATAAACAGATCATCTTTACCAAAACCATCCCTAATTAAGCTTTAACTTTAATATACGATGCTACAAATATATATAAATACTTATATATATAGTGTAAGAATCCTACCAGTTAATAGGGCATTAAATTGTCAAAACCACTTACCAATAATTAATTATTAGTCATACCTAGACCAAGCCCCCCCTTTTATAATTTTCTCATAAAGTAAACCCCACTCACCTTAACTCCATCCTAAACAGTAATTTAGTCATCTACACATATAGCAATTTAAATATGCACCGGCAAATCAACCATACCATCTATAAATATATTTATTTATATACTAGCAATTCAACCATGCTTCCTTCAATATATTTACTGTTACAATTAATTAGCAATTCAACCATGCTTCCCATATATGAAATTTATTCATAACCAATAAGGCAGTATATCAAAGCCTTTGGCAACTCATCCATGCCTACAATTCAACCATGTATTAACTTTAAACTTAACTCTAGGTATAATTATACATAGACTTCACATGCATATAATAAGCATGTCCTTAATTTAATAACCGTGTATTTATTACGATTTTAAATCAACCATACCATACACGAATCAAGTCATACCAAACAAGATTTATAATATTTAATAATCTTAAATAATATATATATACACATATATTTTATAATATATATATGTGTGTGTATCATACATTCCATACCAATCGTTGACTATTTAAAATCATATCTACATATATATATACACATATATACACCTCCTTTCATTCCAAAAATATTTAATTAATTATATTTATACCACTAAATGCTACTAGGTATCTTAGTAACACTCTGAGGCTCTCAAAATATCAAGAACACACCCTCTAATGATTAATTTTAACCCTAACAAGCTTAAGATAAATACTGGAACTTCACCGAAGTCTCAAGCAACTTTCCAGGACCTCACACGCATCCCCACGCGCCTTCACGCGCCGCCACATACCCCTAGACTACTCCCACGCGCCTCCACGCGCTTCCCCTTACCGGCAGGCGCGTCCACGCGCCTGCACGCGCCCTCACGCGCCTGAGCCACTCTCGGCGCGTGTTGGCAGCTCCTAATTGGTTGTTGTTTGGTGCTCTTGGTAAGCCGCGATGCACTGGATCCTCTCCCTTAATCAACTACATCTAACCATTGACGCCGCATGTGTATCAACTTACAATGGACCGCATCACACCAGATCAATCCAACTAAATTAAATTAATCCTATGGCCTAGATCAACGAGTGCACCCTTTTCCTACGTACGCGACCACACTGGATAAAAATCCTATTGATGCGCAAATACTAGCCGCCTCCAGTGTGTTTGTTAAACAATTTAACATATATATATATATATATATATATATATATATATATATAACAATTTCTAAATTAACATTAAAAATATAAATTAATTTCAGAAATTGTTCAGAAAATCTCAGAAAAATCCCAAAAGCTCTATTTATTATTTTGGGCATAAATGAACATATACAATTAGATTAAAATCCATTTAATTTAATTAATCGTGCTACACAAGGTTAACGCAAAATATAAAAATTTTAGAAAAATAAAATTTAATTAACCTAACCTCACCTACAAGATCTAAATTATCAGAACAATGCATACATATATTCACATGTTTAATTCTATAATTTTGTAAAGAATAAATATGCTCCTCCAATCTGAATAGTAATTTAATTTAATAAAATAAAATTATAATTTCGATAATCAAGGTGATAAGTTTATGAGTTCTAAGAGGAGAAGTAGAGAGGAACTCGCCTTTTCTTTTCCAAATCCGGTCTCCTCTTACGTTCTTTGATCCGGCCTCCTCTTCGTTAGCCCTTCTTCTTCTCTCTCTAATTCTCTTATTTTTCTAACGTGGAAAAACTCCTAACCCTAAAGTCTTATGTGTCTATTTATATACATACAAAAACTAAATCCTTTTCCCATTAGGATTATCATATAAAATAAATAATATTTATCTTTTAAATAATATATATACATACATATATTTTACTATAAACATATATATATTACCTTCCATATATAACCATTAGTTAAATAAATTATATATACCTATATATATCAATATATAATTATATTGACATATATACCCCTCCACATGATTTAATAATGAATTAATATACACATGTAATTATATAGGTATAATTATGCAAAGATAATTATTAAATATCCTCACAACCACGGGCCTTTACCAATTAACCCAACAAGGCTTCCTTCAAGCCCAATACCACATCCGTTGGTCCAACTTCCTTTAATCCCAATACAAATAACTTAAATACCTAAAATAATGAAATTAAATTTAATAGCTACCAATAATTAACAATAAAGTTACACCAACATAAAATCACGCAAATCAAATAAACACTTCACTAACTAGCATTCCACAAATCAAACACCGTATAAATTTAACAAATAAAATTACAAAATATATAATTTAATTAAAACAATACAATTTACCTACGCACTTAATTAAATAAAACAAATCACAACTATCAAGCACCTAATTAAATAAAACAAATCACTTAAAAATAATAATAATAATATAATATAAATTAATTTAATTAATAAATCCTTTTTACAATATCGGGGTATTACATTCTTCCTCCCTAATAAAAGGAATTTCGTCCTCGGAATTCACGAATCTATGAAATGAAATTTTGATTATTTGTCCCAA